GACGCGGGCGGGTTCGGCTTGGCACCGAGCTGGGATGCCTTCCACAAGGCCGTGATTGACAGGCGCCTGAACAGCGAGGCACCTGGTGACGGATTCCCAGCTTGGCCAGCGGGAGTGGTGGGGCGATCGCCACGCTCAAGAGCCAGCTCGGCAGGCAGCGCAACCAGAGGCTTCGCAGATCAGGTGGCCAAGGCGAATGCGGAGCGGGCCCACCAGCAGCAGCGCCATGCCGAAGCCGAGCAAGAGTTTGCTGCCGAGCTGGCGGAAGTCAGGAGGGTCGCCCGAGAACAAGCACTCCGCCACAACGGCGAGCAGGCGAAACTCAGGCTGGCACTCAAGGAGGAGTCAGAGCAGCTGCAGCGCATCACCGCAGCGGAGAGCGCAGCCCAGCAGCAGCAGCAGCAGCAGCAACACAAGGCCCTCCGCCATGAAATCAAGAGGCAACAAGCCGAGCAGCTCGAGTTCGCGACGCAGATGGAGGCCAGGATAATCAGCCATGACACAGCCTTCAGTCAAGCCAAGGCAGAGGCCGAAGCCGCGACCCACCGGGCAAATCACCTGCATGAGCAGCTTGAGCAAGTTCGAGCGGAGCACCGGGAGAAGCCGCAACCCCAGGACAGGGTCCTACCAAGACCTGCTGCGGGCAAGAGCCGAGGCGCAAGAGGCACTGCGACGGGCCCAGCACGAGAGCGCCCAAGCGACAGCTACAGCGGGCACTCTCAAGCAGCAGCTCGCCAGGCAGGAGCTGGTCATGGAAGAGAAGTTCCAGGAGGCCAAAAAGAACCACGCCCTCGAGATTGAAGCTGCCGCCGAATCAGCCAGGGTCCAGGCAATCGCCCAGGCCCAAGTGGTTGCCAATGCCAAGGGAAAAGGGGCCCTCCCGCCGGCAGAGGCGGCCAGGCTGCAAGGGATCGTCCAGACAGCAGCACGGCAGCAGGAGCGGCTAAAGCAGACCAAAAGCGAGCTCGAGGCAGCTGAAGCCCGCATACACGAGCTCCAGCAGTACTCCAAGCTTGAGGCGGGCGCTGCGCAGCGTGCAGTACAAGTGGCATACCATGAAGCAGCGGAGCTGAGAAGCGCCAACAAGGAGCGGCAAATCCCGCACGAGGTGCAGGCATTGCAGTTCGCCCTGCTAAGGACTAGAGCAGAGGAGGAGGAGATCGCGAAGGCCAGCCTGAAGGACAAGGAGGCAATGCGGGCAGAGCTCGAAGGCAGTGCTGAGCGAATGAGGTCGAGTCTCACCCGCCAAGTCATGATAGAAGAGGCGAACGCACATGACTTGCAGCTGCACGCAGAGAGCCTGCGACAGGAACTGAGCAGCTACGCGGTGCAGCTGAGCGAGCAAAGGTCCAACGCAGAGGTGCAGGAGCAGGCGCTGGAGGAGGAGCTCGCCCAGGCCCTCACCTTCAGGATCGCCAGCATGGAGGAGGCCTCCGCCATGGAAGACTTCGCCGGCCAGCAGAGGACGGGCAGGGAGGAGGCCATCCACCTCGCGCTGCAAGAAAGCCTCCAGCGCTCCAGCACGCTGCACACCGAGCTAGACGCCATCGCAAAGAAGGAGCAGCAGGGCGCGTCGGAGACAGAGGAGCTAAAGCTGAGGATGCAGAGCCTGGAAGCCATTGCAGCCAGCAGGGAACGTGAACGCAAGGCCATGGTCAACCTGTACGCCGAGCTGAGGCAATACGGGCAGGAGGGCTACGACTTCACCAAGAGGGCAGCTCATCACCTCGTCCAAGGGGGCCACCTCCCAACGTCCCAAGAGTCCATGGACGACTACCAGGAGGCCGCTGACCTGTACGAGGAAGCCAGAGGAGCAGCCGAGGCAGCGACCGCCACAGCGGAGCCCCCCGTTGCGACCAATCTCCAAACTGGCGCAGCTGAGGAGCGCCCAGCCAACAGGGGCCGCAGGCAGAGCAGCTCCTCTCCTCGGAGGCCAGCATCAACCAGGTCAGCCAGGTCAGCAGCCCGCCAGACCGACGAAGGCGACGCCCCCCTCATAGAGCGTGACAGGTCCAGGAGCCCCGACAGGCCAGACCCGCACGAGGAGGCAGAAAGATACGAGCGCGAACAAGATGAGTTGCGCAGACAAGCTGCTGAGGAGAAAGCACAATGGGAAGCCGTACAGATGGAGGAGGAGCTGGAGTCCGTAGTGAGGGACCACGAGGCGAAGGAGATCCAAAGGCGCTACCACGAGGAGGCCCCCTTGACCCAGTTCGGAACAGCGGGCACGCAGGACTCTCGAGCGGAGGACGACGGCTCGGAGCACGCGCCGATGATCTACCCCGCCAGGTGGCCGCCCTGGAGCCAGGATCACCCCACACCCGAGGAGGGTGAGGAGATGAGGGGGATCACTCAGCACGAGGCAGACACAGACCTGGCATCCACGTCAAGGGCTAGCTCGGTACCAGCAGAGCAAGGCGACCCTCCTACCCCGACAGCATCTCAGGTAATTTTCATCCCAGCATCGCCAGCGCCACTCAGCGAGAGGTCACTCACGCCCACAGTTCCATTTGGGCATGATGAGCAGCGTGGCCATGGAGGTGGAGAGGGAGCCGACAGCTTCGCATTGACCCCTCCCCCTGCGTCCCAGCAGAACGCGGAGGCGGCAGCGGCCAGCATCGAGAGGCAGTACGAGGGCATCGACATCATGACGCGCCAGCACACCTCAGCCGCCGCCGCAGCTGCAGCCCTCGAAGAGGCGTTTGGACCCGCGCCCGCATTTCCAGGAGAAGACATCAGCCAGGCCCACAAGGGTCAGCGGGTAGACTCTGGAGAGTCAGGCATAGCACGTTTTCGTGGCCGAGTGGCCCGCAGGAGGGACGAGACAAGGGGCACAGCAACCCCCTCCCCTCCTGCAACTCCTGGAGCCGAGGAGCAGGCAGCAGCAGCGCCCGCTGAATCCCCCCGAGGGGGGGAGGGGGCCTAGCAGCGCCGCCAGGCTTCAGGTCATGCATGACAGAATTCACCGCCAGGAGGCGGCCGATGAGTCCAACAGGGCAGAGCACGACGGATGTGGGATTTCGTCACGCTCTCCGATCAGTTCGACAGCATCGATCTCCTGGGCAGCATCGGGGAGAGCAGCTGGGGCCCAAAGCCCGCAGCACGGCAGTGGGGTCCTCCACTACGATGCTCGACCTACCCACCACCAGAGGCTTGAAAGCACGGCGGGCCCTGGGGGTAATTGCGACAGCCGTCTTGTAACAAATAGACCAGCGGAGATTCCGACAATCTCACGCACCAGATCAAGTACTCCCAGGAGTCCAGGGTCCCGAGGGGCCACGACTCCAAACAGATGTGCTACCGCAACGGGCATTGGCAGTGGGATGGCCACTCCCAATCGCAGCAGCCAGCATCAACAGCGGTATCAGTCACCTGGGTCTCGAGGGGCCAACGTGACACCACCACGGCCGACACGAGGGCCGCCCGCCGCGTCTCGAGGGGCGCTAGGCGGCAACCAAGGAGGCACACTACCAGGGATGAGTGATGCATCCGCCAATCTGTCAGCACTCCAGGACACAAGCCACCAAGATGGCTGCAAGGATGCGTTACCGGCTGCCCTTGCACTCAGTGTGTCCCCCTCCGCCATCCGAGTCCACGAGATCGAGAACGTGGAAAGGACCTTTCTTGACGGTCAAAACTCGGCTGGCAGCGAGGCAGAGGATGGCATGGAGCAGTGCTACGAGAACTGGAGGCAAGCGTGCGCAGTCGCAGCCTTCCGATCAGCCCAGCGGAGTGCACGCCGCGCACGGCGCGCTGCGGAGAGCCACAGTCGTCGGGACAACAGCAGCAACCACAACAAGTACCATGCCCTGGCGGTGGATCCAGACCCGTCGGACTCAGCAGCTCAGCCAGCAGCACCAGTGGCCCCAGTCCCGACGGACCCAAGCAGCTCACCACGGTCCAGCAGGTGGAAGCCAACGCTCCCCTCGGCATCAGCGCGCTCCCACCACGGCACGGGTGCTACCAACCACCCAGACGCCCTGGATGGCGAACCTCATCGTCTACGTGACAGCATGCTCCACGCCCAATCACGCGAGCCCCTGTTCAGTCAGGCCGCGCGGGCTGGATCGGACAACTTGAACTACGATGAGGGGAGCCAAATGCCATCACTACCACCCGTGAAGCGGAGTGCGCCTCAGGCTGGAGCCATATCACTAGCCCCACCAACACGTTCTCCGACACCACGGCCACCTCCAGCACAAATCACCACCACACCAGGTCCCATTCTACAGGGCATGGGGCTGGCGCCAGGCGACGACATCGAGTACTCCCCCGAGTACGTCAATGCAGAGAGGGCCAGGCGTGGCCGAAGGCGACGGCAGATCCCCACCACGACAGCACGAGAAAGAGGCCAAGCGACAGTGCTGCCAGTTCTCAGCCAAGACCCAGTAGCCGAGACCCTTCGCGGCCGAGGCCGCGTCAACGTCTGTGACGACGTCGACACTACGACCCTGCACAGCATGACAAGGATGGCGCTGGAGATGTGCCCATCACGCGAGCTGCCGACCAGGCGGACACACATCTACACGGACGGCAGCTACAACGGCATCCCACATACAGCCGCCTGGGCAGTTGTCATTGTCGACGAGTACGACGACGGGCGCAACTTACGAGGCCCGTTCGGCTTTCGGGGTTTCATTGCTGGCTAGGTCACCGAAACCCTAGACGACATGGCAAACAACGAGAAGGTGACGGCATACACAGCTGAGCTCACGGCAGTACTCTGGGCACTGATGTGGGCCCTTGGTCAAGACACCGACGCGCCCATCGAGATCACGCCTGACGCCCTCAACGATCACGCCTGACGCCCTCAACGTCATCAACCTAAAGGCGAAGCCCAATGCCACGTACATCCGAGGTTGGGGGCCGTCATTCGCACACTTGCAGGCCTCCTCCAACAAGCCCGACCTACCCAGTGGCACCATATTAACTCGCACATCGGGCACCCTTGGAACGAGCTCGCAGATGGGATAGCAGATCAAGCCTCGGCCAGCGACCTGATGGACCCGAACATTGCAGCTGTACAGGCGATCGCCCACAACAAGTTCCTTTCCTGGGAATGGCTGCGATCAGAGCCAGATGCGGTCAAGGCCGCATACCCGCCCCTGCGGAACAAAGACTTCATCATCGAGGCCACCCAGCCGCAGGCAGCCCCAGGAGCGATCCAGAGGCCCATCAGCACCACCACCATCAAGGCCGACCTCAACGTGAATTTGTGCACCTACAACTGCAGATCACTCAAGGCCACCGTTAGCTTCAAGTCGGGCAAAGGCAAGGCGGCCGGCAAAAGCAAGCAGAGCCTCTCCAAGGTCACGCACCTAGCAGCACAGTTTGCTGACATGGGCCTGCACGTCGTCGCCCTGCAGGAGACGCAGAGCGAAGGAGACGTCCGCAATGTAGGTGAATACGTTTGCTACTCATCAGGCCACACGCAGCAGAACAGAGGATGCGACATCTGGCTCAACGTCTCCCAACCTATCAGCGCGAGTGGGGCAGCGAAGTACCTAAGTGCCAAAGACACCCTCGTCCTCCACCAGCACGACAGGCTCTTGATCATCAAGACCCGCGTTGCAGGCACAGATATGGTTATCGCATCCGCATACGCACCCCGCGAAGACTCCCACGCGGCGGAGAAGAGAGAATTCTGGGAGTCTGCTCAGCGATTGTCTGACAAGTACCGAGTGGACATCTTCATGGGGGACCTGAACGGGCGTCTTGGCGACTACGAGTCCCCAGGAGTTGGCACCAGTGGGTACCCAGAAGTGACCAACGGCAATGGCAAGCACATCATCAGCTTCGCTGCCGACACCAACATGGAGGTCATCAACACCACGAGGGATCCAGGCAACAACTCATATACGCACGTCGGATCGAAGGGGCAGCACCACAGGATAGACTACATCCTGCTGAGCTCCTCGATCGCCCAGTACGTCGCGAGCTGCAGCACGGAGCCAGGTCTGGACCGAGGCACAGCTGCACAAGACCACATACCAGTACTAGCCACCCTCAAGTGGGCCGTCTGCAAGACCACCAAGGCCTCAGGACCGAGGCCCGACCTGACCAACTTGAACAATGACGTCGCCAAGGCCAGCTTCAAGGAGATTCTCAAGCAGGCCCCGATTATCCCCTGGGAGGTGGACGTCAACACCCACTGCGAGGAGGCCATCAGGGTCGTCAACGACGCGGCCATCCAGGCCTTCGGCAAGGCCTCCAAGGCAACGAGGAAGCCATACGTCACCAAGACTACCATGGGCCTGATCCGAGCCAGGCGCCTCACACTCCGAGTCCACCGTGCAGTGCTCAGAGGAGAAGCCCACGACGACCGACCTGGACGACTAGTAGCCCACGCCCATTCTCTTCGTGCAGGCGAAGTAGGGGACTCACTCTCCCTTTGGAGCAGAGAGCGTGGCGATGACGATGGCACCATCCACGACATCCACCACTACGCGCACCTCCTCCTGAACTGGACAATCTCGCCCATGGTCTACGCCATGGCCATCCTTTCCTTCCTCACCAGGTCTGGGCCCATAGTTGCCGCGGCCGTCGAGAAGGACCGAAGTGCATTCCTGTCGGCTTGCCTCGACAGCGTCCTCCGCCTCCGCTGCGAACGACGCCGCGGTCCAGTGGAAGGCTTACCGAGACCTACTAAGGTATGGAGGGAGGAAGGCGAAATTCCCAGCAGGAAAGCCTATGCGGCTCGACAAGGATGGAGAGGTGATCCACAACTCCCAGGAAATGGCGGACCAGGAGCTTAACCATTTCGCGAAGATACAGGCGGGGAAGATCGTGACAGCGGATGATCTTGCTAACAAGTACAATCACGACAGCAAGATCAGGCCCTTCGACGGCATGCTGGATCTCTCCATGGTGATGCCCCTGGCCGTCTGCCAGGCCCAGTTCGCCGCGGCCAAGGCTGGGACGCAAGGAGGCCCCGACGGGCTCACGAACGCTGTCCTCAGGGCGGCCCCCACAGAGGCAGCGAGGCTACTGCACCCCCTCTTCACCAAGGTGGCGACCACCGTGAGAGAGCCGCTGAGCTTCAAGGGTGGAGACCTGGTCGCAATTCCCAAAGGAAAAGGCGACCCAAGGTACCTCCAAGCCTACCGCGAGATCCTCTTAAACAACGTCCTGGGCAAGCACCACCACAAATACCTAAGGACCATGCTCAACACTACCCTCGCCATAGCGCTGGAGGACATCCAGGTTGGCGGCCGGCCCAAGCGAGGGGCGGACATGGCGGTCCTCGCAGCGCGCCTCTTCACAGAGAGAAGTCAGGCCCAAGGGAAGTGCTCCATGATAAGCTGCTACGACTTAAAGGAGGCCTTCTATTCGGTTGTAGTCCAGCTGGTTCATGGCATCCCAGGAGAAGAGGACGAAGTCCAGGAGGTACTAGAGAACCTCGAGGTTCCCCTGCGGGCCCAGCCGCAGCTGGAGCACCTCATGGCCAACCCAAGGACTCGACACAGTGTTGGACGGCTCCCACTTGGCTGCCCTCATTGCAGAAGGATATCGCAACAGGTGGACATCACACAGGTTCTCCCAGAACCTTATGGCGCCGCACAAGGGCACGAGGCCTGGCGTGCCCTTGGCCGACGCGGACTTCAATCTGCTATTCGGCCGAGTCCACCGTATGATTGACAGCTACCTTGCGCAGCGAGGGCTACGACCTCAGGGCAAGCCTCTTGACAGCAGCTTCGCATGCGACAACGACCCCACAGATGGGCCACTCCAGGAGCATGAACCACATGGCCTATCGTTTGTCGACGACCTAACGGGCATGCACGTGTTCACCAGCCCCGACCACATTCAGCATGAGGCCACCGGGTTCTGCGAAGCCGTCTACTGCGCCGCCAGCACCTTCGGCCTCCAGCTGCAGCTCACCAAGACCAAGGTGATGATCGACTTCAGTGGGCCTGGGAGCCGGCAAGCGCGGGCCAGTTTCTACTCCGAGGGAGTGCCGAGGATCGAGGTCCCCCTTGCAGAGAGTTACGTCGAGGTGGTTCGTCACCACAAGCTCCTCGGGACCTACGTGACCGACAATGCATCCCCTGGGGTGGATGTCGCAGTGAAGGTAGCCACTGCAGCGACATCCACGAGGCCTCTCCATCGCGAAGTCCACCGGCGATCAGAGCTGGCCATCAAAGACAAGGCCTACTTAGCCGACAGTGTGGTGCTATCCCAGCTACTATACAATGCGTCTACCTGGCCCGAACTCACCGCAGGCCAGGCCAGGAATTTCAACAACCAGTATATCGTCAACTACGCTGCCGCGCAAAGGATCACTTGGAAAGTACGACAGAAAAAGGAGGTAACGAACACCCAGATCCTCGAAGGGGTCGACAAGCTGCCCCCAGAGATAGTCCTGCGACTTGAGAGGCTACGACTATTTGGCAGATGCCTCAACTGGGGACCCCTGCACCTCCGCCGGCTACTTAGCCAAGCATGGGATGGTAGTTACGGCTGGGTGGCACTGCTCCGCCGCGACCTAGACTGGGTCCGCGACCACACAGGACCTGACGAGCGTGGTGGAGCATACACGCTCGAGGACTGGAAGGACTGGGCCAGGAACGACTACCAAAGCTACCTCAGCGCAGTAAAGAAAGCTTGCCAACGTGGCAAAGCTCGCCAGTACGATCACGACTACCAAGCTCGATGGCGGCTTCGACTCCAACGGTGGACCAACACGGAAGCCATCTCGCCCTTCCCAGACCAGCACTTCGAGCAGCAGCGCAAGTACCTATGCTACCACTGCGGACGTACCGAAGCCAGTGCAGCAGTGCTACGAGCACACATCACCAAGGACCACACCTCGTCGGGTCATCCTATCTCGTGGGCAACTGGTTCGGTCTGCTACGGATGCGGCATGGATTACCATACTACAAACAGGCTGGTCAAACACTTGCTGAGAGTGCGCAGGTGCGCTCGACATTGGAGAAAGACGCGTCCAGCAATCCTAAGTAGAGCCGAGCTGCAGCACAACCAGCAAATTGTCCGCGACCAGCAGCAGGCGAACCGAAGGGCGGGCAGGCCCATCGACTGGGCAGAGAAGCCTGCAGTCCCTGCTCGTCCTCCAGAAATACATACGGACGAGGACAGCGACGACAGCAACGGCGGCCACTACGAGAGCCTAGAGCTCCCCTTCATCGAGGAGCCGCCACCGCCGCCAGCTCCTGTACCGAGGCCCAGACCAGCTCGGACGCTATACGTGCTGCATCTATTCAGCGGCCGTCGCCGAGAGGGAGATGTTCAGGACTGGTTTGACCGCCTCAGCAGTCGGGCTGCTTGCGACATACACATGCTCAGCCTGGACATCGCCAACGACCCGACCTTCGGCGACCTGACATCAGAAGTCGCAGTCAGCAAGTGGCGAGACATGGCACAAGCAGGAAGAATTGCAGGAGTCATCGGCGGACCGCCGTGCGAGACCTGGAGCCGAGCGCGCCACTTGCCCCCCAATGACTGCAGGGGTCGGCCACCAAGACCCCTAAGGAGCAGCAACAGCCTGTGGGGCCTTCGCTACCTTTCCCGCCCAGAGATGGAGCAAGTAGCGACAGGCAACCGCCTATACAGGACACAGCTGGAGCTCATGTACATGTGCCTCAACCTGGGAGTCCCAGGCATGCTCGAGCACCCGTCCGAGCCCACCGAGGAGCACTTCGCCAGCTCCTGGAAGCTTCCCGAGACGCGCCACCTCCTGAACCAGCAGGGAGTCGAGCTGATCACATTCGACCAGTGCACCTGTGGAGCGCGTTCGAGGAAGTCCACAAGCCTGATGGCGGTATCCCTACCAACCCTCCGAGCAGAAATCAGTAGACTGCCTGGAAGCGGAAGGTGCTTTCACGCGGCCTCCTACCACGCGGAGCTGGCAGGCATCAACGACGACGGCCAGTGGCGCACCGCGGCGGCCAAGGAGTACCCGAACAGGATGTGCCAGGCCATCGCGACCGCACTGGCGAAGCAGATAAGGTGGCGCTTTGGCGAGTCGCCTAACGACGTCCAGGGGTGGCACATCGACGACGGCGTGGCCCACTTTTTCCAGCCGCTCGACCGCTACAAGACCAGGGAGATGGGTCAGGACTACCATCGAGGCCAAGCGAGGCGGAGTGGCTCACCGACCTGGTTGGAAGAGGCAAGGGAGTGGGCCCGGCAGGACCGACCCGGCAAGGCAAACGGCAGGGCCACCACTTCGACAGGATCTGTTCGGGCACAGGCTGACAGCGCGGATCGAGCCGATGCGCCCTGACGACAAGTACAAAAGAATCAGAACGCAAGTCCTGAGGAAGCCCCGAGTGCGTGGGAACACCTCAGGCTACGTCGTCAAGTTTTGCACAAGTCATCAGGACGCAAGTCCTGGGGGAGCCCCGAATGCGAGGGAACACCCCAGGCACACGTCGTCACGTTTTGCACTTGACGGACACGGCCGCCGTTCAGTCAGGGCTCAGAGGTACCAGCCAGACTACCCCAACTGCACCAAGCACGAGTCAACGCTGCCCTGGTGAGGCAAGGAACAAACTTCGAGACGGGCTCGAAGGGCGGGGGGGCAGGACGAGGACTGCCCGCGCCTACCAGGGGGGATGGTGAGGGGCAGGGGGGGGGCAGGACGAGTACTGCCCGCGCCCCCGCGGTCCGCCCTAGCTCGCCACCCCCACCATTCCCATGGCGGAGACGGAGCTCCCGAGCGCCCAAGGGCGAAGCATAGGGCAGCGTTGATCTTCCTCATCGACAGCAAGAATCACTTGGCCTGGGGTTCGCCCCCACCGAGGGCACCGTGACCCCTAGCCATAGCGGGACGAGGTAGGGCCGCCACGAACCCTACTTGAAGTCGGTGCATGGAGGCCTGAGTGCGCCCACAATCTATTCAACCTACCAGCAACAAGCCGGCCCCCATCGACCCTAAACAGCACGACAATTACCTCACGGCTGAGACGAGTACCAGAGCCTGAGCCCAACACAGTCAAACAGTGCTACTCGACCAAGGCGACCGAGCCAAGTACAAAGAGCCTACCATCATCGAGGCAGACGACCACTGGCACACCGAGGAGGTCGACCGCGACGCGGAGCTCCTCGCGCTGGGCCAGAAGGAGCAAATTGTGGAGGCCGACGGCATCGCGGAGCTCCTCGCGCTGGGGGCCAGATGGCGGAGGCCGACGGCATCGCGGAGCTCCTCGCGCTGGGGGCCAGACGGTTGAGGCCGACGGCATCGCGGAGCTCCGCGCGCTGGGCCAGCTGGCGGACAGCTGGGAGGCCAGGCGCGGATGCCCCCGCAGGCCTGCGGCAACGCAGAGCTCCTGGCGCTGGACCAGCAGGTGCACACCGGCGGACGCACGCGCGACGCGGAGCACCTCGCGCTGGGCCAGAGGGAGCGCATCGAGGAGGCCAGGCGCGGGCGGGGTCGCCGCCTTCGACGCGGCCTGAGGGCCCCGCCGTCCCCGACTTGGCGGACGAGCTCAGCTAGGCCCCACCGAGGCGGGTGGGCCCTCGCCGAGCCGAAGGCCAGGGCCCCGCGGGCCCTCGGCCCCTCGGGCCCTTCGCCGACCGGTGTTGGACCCAACGGGCCCGCCGTCTTTTTCGCTTCCCCTTTCCTCCGGGCCTATCGCATTCCAGGACAATCGGGCCCTTCGCCGACCGGTGTTGGGCCCAACGGGCCCGTCGTCTTTTTCGCTTCCCCTTTCCTCCGGGCCTATCACATTCCAGGTCAATGAAACGGGCCTTCCTCACCCCCCCTCTGTCGGCGGCCAACGGCCGCCGCGCTGCGCTTCAGGGCAGTGACCCTTACGGCGCGTCAAATAGCGGAAATAGCGGAGGAGGAGGAGGAGGAGGAGGAGGAGGAGGAGGAGGAGGAGGAGGAGGAGGAGGAGGAGGAGGAGGAGGAGGAGGAGGGAGGGGAGGGAGGGTAGGAGGGAGGAGGGAGGGAGGGAGGAGTCGGAGGAGGAGGAGGAGGAGGAGGAGGAGAGGAGGAGGAGGAGGAGAGAGAGAGGAGGAGAGGAGGAGGAGGAGGAGGAGGGTGGGCGCCCCGCGGGCGCCCCGCGCGCCGCGGTGGGCTTCCCGAGGACTCTCGCCGCGCGGGCGCCGCGCGCCTCCTCGCGGGGCGCGCCTCCTCGCGGGCGCGTTCCCCGGTGCGCGGGCGCCCGTGGGGGCGCCGGGTGGGCGCCCCGTTCGCTGAAAAGTTGAGGATGTCTCGAGCGAAGCGCTTGTTTGTTCACAGTCTGTTGAGGACCTCTCGAGCGAGACGCTGGTTCGTGTCATAGATTGCCCTCTCCTGGGGGCCAGAATTTAGAGGATCTCTCAAGTGAAATGCTGCCGCGTCGGCGCCCATGTCCGCTCACGGGCGCCCCGTGGGCGCCCGTGAGCGCATGCAGTGAAAGCGTGTAGTAAGGACGCGTGGTGAGGACGCGGCGCGCCTTTGGCCACATCGGGTGCCCCATGAGGGCCTCGTGAAGGACCCCGCAGGTGCCCCAGAGGAATCCAAGAACTCCCAAGACATACCTCAGACGGCACCACAGGCGACGGGGAGCCCTTGGAGGCCGGAGTTGAGGTATTCTGGCCTGCGAGAACTGCCAGGGACGGGCCGCAGAGGCTGAGGCAGGCAAGGACCCAAGGGTACCCTTGAAAAGGTCGTCTGTCCTCACTATGCGCGTTGACTGTACGCCACATGGCTTGCACGACGGAGCTCGCACCGCACAGCCTGCCCCACATGGGTTTGCAAGGCAGAGCTCGCACTTGCATAGCTCGCACGGAATAGCTCACATCGCACAGCGCACATCGCACAGCCTGCACGACCTAGAGTCCAACACATGTTTCACACGACATGTCTTGCGCACACACACACACCATATAACACAATATACACCGTACGCCATACTTCTTACACTGTACATAGCTTGCACCACATAGCCCAAACCGCAACACTCATACGACATAGGTTACACCACATAGCTTACACAACATCTACTTCACCTCCACTGTACAATGGCTCACTGTTTGGGGTCCACCCTGGCTAACATTTGCAGCCTTGCTCGCATCTCGTCCCCGCTGCCCTTACCCAACTACATGTTCATTGTCACTTTGTCACCACACCCGCCTCTATCGATCCCCTTCTAGAATTAGCCAAGCAAAAGACTGACCTTGTGAAACTGCGTGTAGCGTAGGGGGTCGTAGGGGGTGACCATAACATCTTGTGGTGGGACCACGGGAGGGAGGGATCGAACGGGGGGCGACCACATGTGAGCACAATTCCTGTGAGGAGTGTGCCGAAATAGACGGGGTGGCGCCATGCAAGCTGGATCCCTATGGAGCACGACCCGCGCTATTCTACGACATGTGTGTGCTGACACAGCGGGGGACCGCCTACGAGCTTCCCCACCGGTGTCATGGGTGGAGCTCGTTGTGGGGCACGACCTGTGTGAGCGGGATGCCGACACGAGCGGAGCAACACGATGCGCACACTCACTCTGAGACGGTCGTTGGAGCTTCCCGCAGGGACGCCCCACAAAGGGAGCTCACCTGTGCAAAGGATGGATACCTGTGGGAGACGACGACGACGACAACGACGACGATAGAGACGGGGATGGCAACGGCGACAGCGACGGCGACGGCGACAGCGACGGCGATGGCGACGACGACGACGGCGACGACCATGACCTGCCGATTGCCACTTTCGCCCAAATCGATCATCGGATCACCCCTGGACACGATCCTAGCAACTTTTCGAGCTGCGTCCGGTCGTGGCGACAGGAGAGGGCCCCGAAGGCAAGACAAAACTCATAAAACACGACGGCGACGACAGCGGCCTGGACCTAACCTGGGGTGCTTTCTGGCCAGAATTTGATGGTGAATCCAGCCGTGGCCACCAAAGCACCCACAGAGGCCAAGCCAAATCTAAAGAGAAACGCAACAAAAATATCGACCCTCCACCCTTGATCCTCGAACCCGAGTTCACGATCCTGGACGCCGCCGACGACGCCGCCGCCGCCGCCGCCGACGACGACGACGACGACGACGGAAGGTGGCGGCCGCGCGGCGGCCGATCCTCGCTCCCGGCTGGCACGTCGAAGAGCTTCTCGTCGTCCATGCCTCGCCCGCGGGCACGGCGCCACCCGCCACGACGAGCACCACGAGGTCGACGTCGGCTCAACGGTCCCGATACGACGGCAACCACAGTGACCATGACACCACAACCACGACGGACACGACGACGGACGCGGCGATGGCGACGCTGACGACGCTCAGGACGACTCCGCCGCTCGCCGCGTAACTCAGTAGTCATCGTCGTCCGTCGTCGTCGTCGGCGAATTCGTCGTTGTCAACGTCGTCACGTCGCCGTCGATCGTCGGTCGTCGTCGGTCGTCGTCGGTTGTCGTCGTCGATGCCTCGCCCCTTCGTCGGCGGTCGTCGTCGTCGCCCCAGTCTCCACCTCCTCTGTCTCAACCTCCTCCTCGATCCTCGAGGGTCTGGGACCCAGGTCTTGGAAGTGATTGGTCCTTTTGAGCGTCTGGGCGCCTACAAGGATCTCTGGGAACCTCCGGGAGGCCCCGCCCCCACCGTCGCCGTTGTCCA